TTATTATTATTATTACTACTACTACTACTACTATTATTATCATTATCAATATCTTTATTACTCCTTACTTTTTAAATTCCATATTTTTTAGTTGTTTCACTTGATACGGTTCTTTTAAAAAATAAATTTAATTCTATTTAAAAAATATAAGAAGAAAGAACATGAAACTTTTTGTGTGATTATAATTTATGTAGACTAAAATAAATGATATGAAGCACAATTGTTTTCTTAAAAATGAAAAATAATAAACTTTAGAAACAAGCTAAATAGAAACCCGAGAAACTAATCTTTAATTATTAATGAAAAATGTATTATTTCTTTGCTTAACATTGATAATATAAGGATGTGATCTTTTAATAAAAATATTAATGATTATTAATAACATTGATTATCTATATTAAATAACATTTTAGTTCATATATAAATTAAATAATTATTCTAATGTTCATATAAACTAATTATTAAAATATTAAATCAATATTATTCATTAAAAAAATCATAAAATAAAAAATATTATTACATTATAATATGAATGATTATTCTAATATATGAGTTAATTAATTTTGTTTCATTAAAAAATAATCATAAAAAAATATTGATTATATTATAATATGAATTATCATTACAATTTTCAATCAAATCAGAACCAATCAGATCACATCAGATCAGATCAAAACCAATCAGATCAGATCAGATCCAATTAGGGGTGGACACGGTACCGGTACGGTACCGTGACCGGAAACGGTACCGCCGGTACCGGTACCGTTACCGTCGGCCGGGACGGTCCACCGGTTCCGGGAACCGGTACCGGTACCGCCCACTCCGGTACCGGTTCCGATGCCCATTTTTCGGTTCCGGTTCCGGTACCGTAATTAATTTTTTTTTTGTTTTTATTTTTTATTTCATTCTTTCCTTTATTAATTTCATTTTTAGAGTTTTTTATTTCATCCTTTCTTTTAACAATTACACATTTACAATTCTACACTTTAAAAATTTAATAAAAAAGCAAAAAAAAAAGAAATTATGGGTGGCCGAAACGGTACCGGAACCGGTACCGGCCGATCCGGTACCGGTACCAAGGGGTGGAGGTACCGGAACTGGCGGTTCCGGAACCGGAACCGTCCCGGAACCGTACCGTGTCCACCCCTAGATCCAATCAGATCAGATCAGATGTAATCAGATCAGATTAGATCAGATCCAATCAGATCAGATCAGAACTTATTAAAATCAGATCAGATCAGAAAAAATAAGTTGAACGGAACGGAGCCTAAATTTAACAAACTTGACCACTAGTTAAATAAAATTGAAATTAAATACTGGTACAAAATTCATTTCATTAGATTTTTTTTATATAATACTCCCTCCGTCCCAAAAAGTCTGTCCCGTTTCGAAAAATTTGCGTCCCTTAAAGTCCGTCCCATTTCTATTAAAAAACAACTTCTACTTCTTACTTTTTCATACCCTGTCTATCACATCATACCTTTTTTCTAATAATCTATCCATCACATCCTACTTTTACCAATCGCATCATACTTTTGCCCTCCCGCAGTACAATGTCCGGCCGTTCCAAAAATATACTCCCTAAATGCATGCTTTTGTCCATTTGCTTAAGTTGAATACAGCGAGAATTGCAGTCCACCCAGGCAAAATAGTCCCCCCATTTACTCACTTTGTCTATGCAATGGTTATTTGACTAGTTTTAGAATTTTACAGCTAAATTTAACAAACTTGATCACTAATTAAATAAAATTGAAATTAAATATTGATACAAATAAGGCAAGTGTAAAAATAAGGAAAATGTAATTTTGGTTGACTTTCCAATTTTGCTCCTGATTTGATGAGTAAAAATAAAATGTGATAGGTTGGTTATTAGTGAAAAAGCATGATGGAATAGGTAGGGTATGAAAAAATAAGGATAAAGTGGTTTTTTAATAGAAAGTGGAAATGTTTTAGGGAATTCAAAAAAACGAAAGGGGAAGGGTTTTATAGAAAGGAGGGAGTATTATTCTATTTAATCAATATATTTTATCTAATTATAGGTCAAATATTGAGAGTGATTGACTGCAAAAGGTCAAAACTAGAAAAATTAGTCCGTGAATCTTTCAAAAATTTCAAACTAAAGTGCACTGGCATTGGACAAAGTAGATCCAGTCCGTGAGGTGCTCTAGGTTCAGAATAATGATTCTTTCAAAAATTCTATAACCGTTTGTAAGAGTCGTTATTCTGAACATGGAGTACCTTCCGTCTTGGGAGTTAGGACTACACAGCAAGAGGTTGGACGCACCTTTTTTTGAGAACTCGGTCGACTAATTTTTCTAGTCATGGTATAGAAAGATCAAAATGGATCGATAAATTCTAATAGGTATGGTTGGTCTTAGTGGTGTGCACCCACACTAGACCTCCAAATTTATGGGACTCAATGTTGTTAGATGTTTTTCATCTAAATTTCTTAAACCAAACATATAGTGATAGATTTATACATTATGGATTATCATTGATCTTGCATTTCTTTTATTAGAAATCAAAACAACATATTTCCTCAGTTCTTAAAAGATTATCACAGTTTGTCTTTTTTAGTCAAACTGTGACATTTTTATCGCAAATTATGGAAAAAGTCCATTTATATATAGTGTAAATTTGGGTTTATTTTAAAATGTAGTTTTGAAATATCAAAATTTATAATATTAAATTATTTTAAAATATATTTAATTTATAATCAAAGGGTGCTACACTTTGACCCAAAAATCAAATTGTGACAATCTTCTAGTGTCAGAGGGATCGGAGTACAACACATAAAGGTTTTGATTGGCTCAAGAACAGAACATATTACTCCATCCGTATCATGAAATGGTTCCTATTTAAACTTTTAGAAGAAATAATGAATGTATATTTATGGTTGATTTTTCAATTTTGCTTTTGATGTGATTAGTAGAAGTACGATGTGCTGGATAGATTATTAATGAAAAAGTATGATGAGATATGTGGGGTAAGAAAAAATATGGGTAAAAGTAATTTTTAATAGAAAGTGCAAATGTTTTGGGTAAAACAAAAAAAATGAAGGCGAGTATTATTTTAAGAAATGAAGAGAGTATAATACTATGAATCCAAGCTAAGCAACTTTTCAACAAACAAAAAAAACATTAAATTTATTACTTCAATTTCAAATGCTTCATAGCTCTCACTTTAATAATAATAATAATAATAATATTAATAATAATAATAATAATAGTGAGAAATCACAAACAAAAGTCCATAAATAAAAAATGAGGCCAATTAAGTAATTATACATTATTAAAATTTGCCGCGGGAGGGACTTCTTTGCAATCTTTGAGGCAACTTAGTTTGTCACCCCAACAACTTCTTTGAAAGCAGCACCAACATGGGGGTCCATCCGGGCAATGGCTGTCTTCGTGACAAAATGAAAATACGGGTGGCTTACCTGCTGCGATATTCAATTCATTCCAAATATATATTACTAATAAACACAAACCATGCATTATACGAGTATATATAAATATATATATATATATACGGAGTATATTAATTCTTTAATTAATTATTATAACATTTGTTGAAATATTGGAATAATAATATTGCTCATTGAATTATGGAGTACATGATAGAGTATATATAAGAAAGACTTCTAACACAACTAGGAATAGAGAATAGAAACTAACTAACATACAACATCTACCACAAATAGGATTAGGAAGCTGACTAATAATGAAACACTACCATAACCAATACTACAAGAAGTACTATTACTATTATTGTCTAACAACATTAATCAAAGACAAATATTATTGGGTTTGGGTGTTATATATATATATATATATATATATATATATATATATATATATATATATATATATATATATATATATATATATATATTTGTGTGCAAACATAAATAATGTAAATTAACAATCAAATTAAACAGGTTTCAAAATGAACTTACACTCGGAAGCGCTAAATAAGTTTGAAATTGTGAGGCACAAGAGGAGAAAATATTTGAAATTAGTAGCAGTAGTAGTAGTAGCCATTAATGTTAATTGGTACGTACACTAATGTATGTGTATAGTAGTTCGATTCGTGAGGTGTATGGGAATTTAAATGGATTTATAGGCCTCAATTGGTTGGTAACGCATGAAACTATAAAAGGCATGGGTCGGAAATGATTAAATAGCTGATTTGGTATAACTTTAATTCCATCATTAAATTTAGGAATTGTTATTGACTAATGGCGATTTACAAACAAAATATTCACAAGCTGCACAACTTTACCAGATATGTAAAATAGTGGTCTCAAATAATGGTTCCAAATAATTAAAAAGTAAAATATTAAATGCATAACTGGTAAGTTTGTGCATTTTATCAGTATTTTGTTTGTGACTCTAGCATTACCGATGACTAATATTTCCACTGTTACAAATCTATTTTGTCATTTGATGTCGCCCACACTCACTCCTCACTCACATTCATATTTTTTGAATACTATTGACTCTATTATAATATAATATCAG